GCGAACATTGCGAACATTGCGAACATTGCGAACATTGCGAACATTGCGAACATTGCGCGAGAATTTACTCTCCATCCAATCAAATACCCGGAACACGGCATAAAACCGATGCAGACACGGTAACGCCAAGGTCTCAGAACTGCCATTGCGAACATTGCGAACATTGCGCGAGAATTTACTCTCCATCCAATCAAATACCAGGAACACGGCATAAAACCTGCGCAGATACGGTAACACCAATGTCACGGCACTGTCTGACCAATCACATTGCGCGAGAAAAAAAATCAGCCAATCAAAACTCTAGAAACCATCACGGTCACGGCAAGGCACGCATACGGCATAGAGCTTTTCACATTCATACGAAAACTGCTCTACGCTCAAAAACATTGAAATTGGAACCCCTCTTTGTGAAGCCGATCGCGCCAAAATTCCCTGTGTAGCGGCCATTTTGGAACCCCGCCCCCTTTAAAATCTTGGATGCACTGGCAATCAAGCAATCATTCGCATAACTGTCTAAGTCCAGTGAATGAAATATAAGTGTATAATCGATCCTATGGAGGCAGAAGCCTATAATTGTTTATGCATGCAGAACGATTTCTATCGAAGCTTCTATGACAAAAGGACAAAAATATTGAAGCTTAAATAGACATTTTAAATAAAATATATCACCACACGTAATCAATGGGGAACAAATTTCGTGTGAACATGAATGGCTATATGTACGGTGCCGTGTCGTGACAATTAGGCAGATTCGAGATTCCCGTTTTTCCTTCCCGCAAACGGCAAACGTGACCACGTTTTCATCGTTTCTCTACATTTCACTTTTAAAACTGTTTTAAAACTGTTAAAACCTTTTGCAAACCTTCTCGACAAAGAAAAGTATTCTTTTGTTTATCTACTACTTGGAGATGTTTGCGATTCCTATTCAATATTGTAAAGAACTTTTTAATTGTCAACTGACGTTTCACGTTTGCCGTAAACGGGAATCTTAAACTCTCTAGTGAGCGTGAGCGTGAACGTGAACGTGCCGTGTCGTGTCGTGTCGTGACCGTGAGAGTGCCGTTTTATGACAGTGACCGTGACAGTGAGTGTGCCCTGTCGTGACAGTGACTGTGACCGTGAGAGTGCCGTTTTATGAC